GCTTTATTTATACTTTCTTCATATGATTGAGGTGGCCGAAGAATAATCGGTGGGGGCCAAGGCCACCATTGGCCACCCGGCGCCTCCATTGCACCTGGTGGTAAATAAAACCTCTCCCTCCACTCGCCAGGATCTGTCACTCTGCGCTGCCTTGGAAAATATAAAGAACAAAACCTCCCTCTGTTCTTCCACAGTGCAACTCACCTGAATATCTTGCACCAAAAACATTCAGGTTTACTTCATTCTCTGTTCAGTTTGAGTCCAGAAAAACACTCATCTCAAACTAAAAACAGTCACTATTCAAAGCTGTGTGTCGGTGGACGTTGGCGTACCTCTTGTTTACATTTACAATGCATCCAAACAATAGTGGACAGTTTGAAGACTTTAGTTTAACGAGTTATTTCCTTTTTCATTCAGACTCTTCACTCTCAAACAAAAGCTTTAAAATCCAGCACCAGATTCATCCTCTTAACAAAATCTAAACTCTGTATAAATGATTACACAGTTAACCTTATTTAGCCGTGACGCATTTCTAATTTTGACCCATGAAGTCAATAATCACTGAAGCTAGAAGTAAAATGGCCAGATGTTTTTCATTATACGAATTAAAAGAACATTAAATTAACAACGGACAGGGTTTTGTTCCAGCGTACCCATTAAGGAAGTAAATGTTGATGGTTCTGTGTCACAGTTGAGCAGTGATGGCGCCATCTGTGTTCAGGTTTGTTTCTTAAAGGTTTAGGTATCGGGACGTATGGTGCCCCCCAGGAAAACCAGGGCTTGATTTAAAACAGGAGGTGAAAAGGCAGATGGTGGAACAACCAGAGGAAGAAAACAAAATTCTAAAGACGGCACTGAAGATGAAAAAGGCTTTAAGACCAGGATTCAGAAACTTTAAAAGCTGCAGTTTCTTTTCTTTGGCAACAATAGTTTAACTTTATTCTAAAAGTATCAATCCTTGAAGAATACATGCCAGAGGTTTAAACAAAGATGTAGTTTCAGTAGCGTCACACTGAACCATGACTGTTTGAGACTCCAAACTGTGGGAAAATCTGTAAATTTTCCAGTTACAATCAGTTTGAGACCAAACTGGGCGGGGCTTCTGAAAATACATTAAGTTTGTGCTTAAAAGTCAGATTTTCTGTTTTACGTAAAAAAAAAAAAAAAGATCAACTGAAACATGGTACTGTTCTAATTTTTCAGATACTGAACTAAAATTTGTTGTGGTAAATAAATGGTAAATGGACTGTACTTATATCGCACCCAACCGGAAACTTGATGGTTCCATCCACCGTGGAAAAATGCCTAAATAAATATATATATTTTTCTTATCATCTGTCATTCAATCAAACTGGACCTTTCCTGTCTTAGTTTCGGTTAGGGTTCCGAAAGTTATTTATTTTTGTAAAATTCTTAAATAATGAGAAATTAGTTTTTTTTTTTCCCCTTCCTTTTTCTAAAGTTCACACACGCACTAAGACTACTTTATTTGGGACGACCCAGGTGATGATGTCATGGCTTCGGAAGCCTTTGATTGGTTAATTCACAACATTTTAGTTATTTGGAGGCACATCTCAAACACACGGCGTATTTGTGTTGCATTATGGGAAATATCAAATATCACCCAGGTACGGTGGCCCTAAGTTGTAAATAAACAACATTAGAAAAAAACAAAACTACATGTGAAAAAACAAAATTACATTTGAAAAAAACAGAATCACATTTGAAAAATAAAGTTAATATGCAAGAATAAATAATAATAATAAAGTAAAAAAAAACAACAACTCCTGTTTGGCTTAAGTAATTGAATTTTTTTCAAATGTCATTTCGTTTTTTCTAATATGATTTGGGCCACTTCCGCTTTGGCCACTTCCGCTTTGGTAAATTCCGCTTTGGCCACTTCCGCTTTGGCTTAATGTAATTCAGTTTTTTCAAATGTCATTCCGTTTTTTCTAATGTGATTTGGGCCACTTCCGCTTTGGCCACTTCCGCTTTGGCCACTTCCGCTTTGGCCACTTCCGCTTTGGCAAATTCCGCCACTTCCGCTTCGGCCACTTCCGCTTTGGCTTAATGTAATTCAGTTTTTTCAAATGTAATTCCGTTCTTTTCAAATGTTTTGATTTTGTTGTTTGTGTTGTGTTTTTTCAAATGTAATGCAGTTTTTTCAAATGTTCATTTACACCTTAGGGCTACCGTACCCAAGACATCTCAAAGACATTTGTCCACCTCCACAACTCTAGTTCGTCCTTGGGGACAATTTCCAGATGTGTCCATCTGTTCAAACCTTTATACTCAATTATAAACTCCATGAGAACAGACAGTCATCGTCCGTTTTAATTTCTGTCCGAGCTTGAACTTCCTGGCCGATGTTTTATTCTGCATCAATATTTCCACATAAAGTTCACCAGAGTCCATGCTCATTAATCCAGGTATAAAATCCAGCAATGTTCAGTCAGGTCATCTGGACGGTTTCTTTTTTGTGCGGAGACGTTTCGCCCTCCATCCGAAGGACTTGATCAGTCTGAGGAAACACCAAACAAAACTAATTCTCCACCAACAGCCTGCTCCAAAGTGGAAAAACAAACAGTTATGTTGGTGCCAAGATGGCCTCTGGGACACGCCCTCATCGACAGTCATGTCAAACTGGTTCAAAACACCAAAGTCCATGCTCAATAATCCAGGTATAAAATCCAACAGAACTGTTTTTTCCCACTTTGGAGCAGGCTGTTGGTGGATAATCAGTTTTGTTTGGTGTTTCCTCAGACTGATGAAGCCTTCTGGATGGAGGGCGAAACATCTCAGCACAGAAAAGAAACCGTCCGGATGACCTGACTGAACATTGTTGGGTCCACATAAAGTTCTTTCTTCCCGGTTTATTTTGTGATGTGCATTAATCCCTCAGCACATCCCCATGACGTGATGCTGCCCCAAACCCCGTGCTTTACACCCGAGTTGAAACAAACTTCCCCTTTTTTCCCTCCAGATGTAACGATGGTCAAACAGTTCAATTTTTGTTTCATCAGACCACGGGACATGACTCCAAACATTAAGGTCTTCGTCCCTGTGTGCAGTTCTAAACTGTAATCTGGATTTTTATGTAGCTTTTTTGAAGTAACGTCTTTGTCCTCTCAGTCCATGTTGGACCAGGACTCGTCTCTGTGGATAATGACTCTCTGACCAGCTTCAGGAAGTCTGCAGCTTTTGTTCTGAGGTTGATGCACACGATTCATACCAAAACACGTTCTTGCCATGTCCTCAGCCAGACGGTCCAGGAGGGCGGCTGGTTCTGTGTTCAAGTGCCTGTGGCCGTACCTGGAGGACTGTTTCATGTACAGAGGGTGAAGAGGACACAGCGTCCACATGCAAACTTTGTTTTATATCTACGTTGACAGCAGCTTCAAGACTTCAGCATCTAATCTAAAAAAAACATGTTGTGGTATACGAGGTTTTACAGCTACCTGCATATTACTTTTTTATTGTTTGTATGTGTGGGTTATTAGTTTGGCTAAGTACGCAAATATCTTAGATATTGTCACTGCCGTCGGTTTGTCTGGTACTAAAATAAGACGGAGCGTCTGAGAAATGAGCTTTGAATGTAGCGATTATATACAGTAAATCAAACTGAATGACTTCTATTGACACAATAAAACATTTGGTTAAAAGTAATTAATACTCGGAGTAGTACACCAGTACTTTTACTTGTAATTGAGTACAATTTAAGCAGTGCAACAGTACTTGTACTTGGGTACAAATCTTCAGTACTCTTTCCACCTCTGCAACAAATGAATCATAAGTGACGTCAAACAGGAACGGTTTAACGAGAAACAGATATTTTTTTTTTTTAATCAGTGTATGTAAACATCTGGTTTGAACTGTAGCGGCCCAACGTGGTTTAAAAAAAATAAATAAACAGTCCAGATGACCTGACTGAAAATTGTTGGATTGTATACCTGGATTATTGAGCATGGACTTTGTTGGTTTTGAACCAGTTTGACACGACTGTCGACGAGAAAGAGGGCTGGCACCGGAGCAGCGGGCGTACCAAAGAGACCATCTTAGCACCAACACAACTGGTTTGTTCCACTTTGGAGTAAGCTGTTTGGGGGAAGAATCAGTTTTGTGTTGTGTGTTTCCTTGACTGATGAAGCCTTCTGGATGGAAGGTGAAACGTAAGAAACTGTCCAGATGACCTGACTGAAAAGTTGGAACGTGGTTTTAGCTTCATCTCTGATCCGGACATGAACTTGATTTAAATCTAACGATATGCTGAGTCTTTATTCTGCACGTGTAAGAAAGATTTGTGCAAACGGTGTAACAGAAAGTTTAAAAGTCTCAGCAGCAGTCCACAGCTCTGCTCTTATTCCGTTATCCCTCCGGTAAAAAGCGCCGCAGACAGGGCAGGTTACCGGAGTTCTCTTTCAGGATTTCAATATTTATCTGTATAAAAGAACCGGTTTAAACCGTTACCTCTTGCTTCCATTTCAGCCTTCGAATGTACAAAATTCTCAGCACGTGGCTCTGACTCTGCCCCGAGCGTTCCAACAGCCGGCCTCGGCTTTGCTTACGCTCTGAATCCTCGGTGCGTCTCCATTGATTGATACCGAGTCGTGGAGGTGAGTGTAGCTGGAGGTTCCAGCGTCGTGTCGCCTGCTTCTTCATAAGAAAAGAGGAAAAAGCTCTGCAGAGGTGAGGAGGGAAGCGTTGAGCTCCTGCTGCTCCGAGCAGCCTGCAGAAAGATTAGAAACCGAAGAAAGTCGCGTCTCCGGCTGCGCTCAAAGGAGGGCGAGGTGGGTCTGCCGGGCGACGCCGGCGCTTTGAGCAGGTCGCTGCTTATCGTGTTTGGATCGGACTCCTCGCCGCGCTGCTGTCTGGTGTTAGACTACAGGGAACGGAGCTTTAAGACTCAGACGAAGGAGTCGTTTTAGTTAATGATTCACGGTGGAGAGATTCATTCTGCACAACAATAATGTACATTAAAACAAGAGAATGGTGATAATCACCTGGGCTGTGTTGTGGAGCATCTGCGGCTACCAGAGCTGGTCTCTGTCTGCAGAAATCTTCCAAAATAAAAGAAGACAAAAGGGGAAAAAAAAGTCATTTAGTTTCCTACATGAAGATTTATCAAGTTCTGTTAATTCACATTAGTAAGAAAAACAACATGAACAGCTGAAAAATAAAGAAAAACAAAGTAAGTAAATAATTTCCTGAGGATTACTGTTTCATCAGCCAGCAGCTGGAGGGACTTGTTTCATTGTTTTAAACACTTAGATGTTCTCTCTGTGTATGGTGTGTGTGGTTATCTCAGGAGGTCCAAGAGCTCAGCTCAGAACAGAAAGTGTGAAAACCACCAAACTAATGTGGATAAGAGGTCAAGGCTACCTCTGAAGGTAAAGGCGGTGTGAGGTTCAAATCAGTTCAAACCTGTATTTACAACTATCCAAATTCATTCAGATCATTTCAAAAAACTTTTTTTAACAGCCGGTCTGAACGCCTCTTCGCTTGTCCCAAATCAGAACCCATTGACTACAAAAACAAATAAAATGTCCGATAGATATTTGCACTCACGGATAAGTTTATCTTGCAGATGGACGATATTTGGTCCCAACAGTTTGGGTTGAAATGATTTCAGTGGCAAGATCGAGTGGAGTGACCGTTATCAGGCAGTTGCCAGAGCGTTTGACAGTCAGTCAAAGCAGTACGTGAATGCTGGTAGACACACAAGATGTCATGTAGGCACTAGGGGCTGAATAGACTAGTCGACGACATCTCACGAGTTTTCAAATTTCACGCCGACTAGTCGCCGTCGGTGATTGTGTCACGTGATCAGCGCCGGGCCGCTGGCTACAAAACAGATTCTTCCAAGCGGATGGGAGGCGAGGAGCAGGCCAAGTCTTCTCAAACAGGTAGAAATTCATCAACGGTGTGAAAGTATTTCACTAAAGATGATGTTTTTAGTTTTATTTTATTTAATCCACTTAAAAAATTAAAAACAGAAGGGCACACCACCACGGTGGTTTATTTGTTTTAGTGGATTAAATAAAATTAAACTTTTGCAGCTTAATAATAGTTTTGGTTTTCCTGTTACTTATTTTGCATTGTGATAAATGGTAGGAGCATAAATACAGTATATGCTCCAGATGTTTTTTTTTTTTTTTTGGTAAATAATACATTTTGGGTTTTTTGCATTTTTTTATTTTAATTTTTTTAGCGTCTTTTGAGTTCCTTTGACGTCATCAACTAGTCAACGTCGACTCAACTGTTAAGTGAGGTGTACAGAACCTTTGGGTACAGGAGGGGACTTGCACCTTTTGTGAAGCTTCTGAGGTTTCAAGACAAACCACACCTACAGAGGATCACTGTGTCCTCGCCCATCTGGACCTTGATGGGTGGACCTTGATGCTTTAGCTCTCTGTGTGGCATCCCACATGGGTTACACTGGAAACGGCACCGTGGCGCCATCTTTCAACAAGAAAAGTCTCCCCCTTCAGCCTGCATCATGTTGGTCATCCAGCTCCTCTGATCTTTTCCCAGTTGAACATGTGGGATCAGCTCAGATTAAGATCTGCTGGATGGTGAGCAGATCCAGAAGCTATGGGCTGGCTTGCAGAGGATACAACGACTGTACGACTTTGTTCCACAAGGAACCATCGCCTGTATTCAGGCCTGTGTGGGGGACATGGGATCGGAGGTAATGCCAACTCTGTCATCTCTGTGGTCGGACATCATGTGCCTTTTCATTTCATTTCCACCGCTCCATCAGGGCGCTTAACATTTTTGTTATTGAGTGTGTATATATAAATAAATATCGTATGTATATTCCATTTTGAGGTCCTGAGCAGTCCGTGAATCGATAGCCCAAGGCTCCAGGCTCCCGGCTCCAGGCAGGTGTGGTGTGGTGCAGGCAGTTTAAATAATTAAGTACGTGGAGAGAGGCAGAACAGAAGTCTACGGGTAGTCATAACACAGTGAAGGATACAGGCATTGTGTTACAAAGTTAAAAGCAAGTAACTGGAGTGAGTAATTGGCCAGTTTGGGTGCTCAGAGTGGCCTGAAAGTGCTAAGGAGACATGGCAGCCCATTGATTAGAGGTCCCCAAGGGGTCCTAGCACAGGCTGCAAACACAAACCTTTTTAGTTAAAGGCAACAGTAGAAGTCACAGCATGTTGACCTTGAAGGGCGGTTACACCAGTTTCAACAGGTTTGATTCTGGCGTCAATAAAGAGGCAGGCTCGGTGTTTTTGAACGTCTCACCTTTGTGGTTTTGATCTTGTTCCCTGTCGCGCAGCTCCAGCCCTTCAGATCTGGAAGAACTTTGCATTCCTCCCCGTCAAGGCACGGATGCATCTGGCACCACCACTTCTGCTCCACTATGGAGGCTTGACACGGAGGAAAAATAAAATGTCAAAACGTGACTGTTCAGGCTGCCGCTAGTGTCAAACACCCACACATCGATTGTCCTCTATTTTCAGAAATTATACAGTTCAAACCAGAAGAAAGAAAATCTAGTGTAGTTCTGTAATTAGGAAGTTTTGGTGGACACCTTGATCTGATCTCACATCCTGACTATTAACACTTTAAATGAACATTAATAAAGTTAATTATTAAAGTTGGGTAGAAATAAAATCTATCACAATAGGATTGAGCTTACATTTGGTCATTTAATCATGTAGTTTGCAGTTTTTTATTAGATTTTCACGAGTCATGAGTACCAAAAAGGTAACGCCACAAGATTTTGGAGTTTTATTGTAATACATATTCTAATATTTTAATCTTTATTTAGTCACTTTATACTGAATTGAACACAATAGTCTTGTCAGTTGACCGCCAACCTTTGTTCTGAAACTGGGACATAAAACAACAAATATAACTGTCCTCGCACTCAAATGACACTTTGCTGACCACAAGAACAAAAGCCAAACGTTTTAATCACGAGTGTCCAAAATGTGGCTCAAGGGCCATTTTGCGGCCCTTGGAGTGATTTTATGTGGCCCACGATTGTGCGTTTAACAGATGAACAAATGGGAAAAATGAGCAATGTAAAGTAGGATACTGAATGAACTTTGGCTATAATTATTTTATTTATTTTTATTCCATAGTACAAAATACCACAAACTTTTACTGATTTCTATCAATACCTAGAATTTTGGATACTCATTCATAAAAAGTGGCTAAATATGGTGTTTTCAATGAAAAAAAAACTTAATTTGATTTAATAATTGATAAAGGGAAACTGGACATTTTTAAAGCAATATAAAGAGGTATCATCTACATAAACATTGATTATTACTGTGTTTCAAACCTCTCAATCTGTTTTAGCGCTTGGCAGCTGTACGATTTTTCAGAACTTTGGTCGTCCTTTTGGGCCTTCATGGTCCAAACGGCTGATCAGCACCTTTTTTAGTGACTGTTTTTTAAGAACATTCATGTAACATTTCTGTTTCTGAGAATAGATTTAAAATAACATTTTGTTTAACAAACGGTTAATGTTTGAGGCTTCTTCTTCACCAAAATTGGTAAACGTTAGTCCTTTCTTCTAAACATAGTTTACATTGTTGAGTAAAAAAATAAATACATTTTCACACACAT